CCCCAAAACCCCAAAACCCCAAAACCCCAAAACCCCTAAAAATAAAATTCAAATGAATAATATATTTAAATGAATAAATACGAAGTTATAGGTATTGTTAATGAAGGAGCTTACGGCATTGTCTACAAGGCTAAAAATAAGGAGACCAACGAGTATGTAGCAATTAAATAAATTCAAAGAAACAGATGATGATGAAATAGTCAGGAAAACAACCCTCAGAGAAGTTAAAGTCCTCAGAATGATCAAACATTCTAACGTAGTTCAGTTACGAGAAGCATTTAAAAGAAAAGGAAGACTCTTTCTGGTCTTTGAATACTGTGATAATAATCTCCTAGAAATTTTAGAAGAAAGGGCTAATGGAATTGCCCCAGAAGATGTTAAAACATATATTTATCAGCTATTAAAGTCAATTGAATTTTGACACCGCCACGGAGTTATCCACAGAGATATTAAGCCAGAAAATTTACTCATTGATGATGAGACCAATGTCCTCAAACTCTGCGACTTTGGGTTTGCCAGAACTCTCCCTAAAAAGATGAAGCACCCTCTCACCGATTATGTTGCCACGAGGTGGTATCGCTCGCCAGAACTGCTCCTGAACATGAACTACGGCAAAGAAGTCGACATGTGGGCCATTGGGTGCATCATGGGTGAAATTACAGATGGTGACCCGCTGTTCCCTGGAGAGTCCGAGATTGACCAACTGTACCTGATCCAGAAGATTATGGGGATGCTGACACCTGAGCAAGAAGAAGAGTTCAGGAAGAACCCACGGTTCTTGGGACTGGCATTTCCAGATGTCAGCAAGCCTGAGACTTTACAGAAGCACTACATCGGTAAGATGTCGAAGAAGGCAATATCGTTGATGAATGGATTCCTTGAAATGGATCCATCACGAAGAATTACTGCTATAGAAGCACTGGCTCATCCCTACTTTGACGGTGTCCGAGATGAAGAGACAAGTAACCTCATAAGGACCTATCTTAAGAGATCTCGAGGTAGCAACTCCAGTTCAAGAATAGATGGTAGGTCAAAGGCTATGAAGAGGAAGAGCTCTACAGAGAAGAGGAACTCTAATTCAAAGAAGCAAAGCTCTCCTTATAAAAATACTCCATCCATCTATGGATCAAAGACTGGACTAATGATGAACAAGAAAGGGCTTCCATATAATGAAAATTTAAAAATGGGCAAAATGGATATGATGAATGAGATAAATACATTTGAAAAAGCAAATATGAATATTTTTGAAAAGGGGAATCAAAAGGCACCTGGACAGGAAGAATATGAATATGAAATCGATGCTGACTTTGAACCAGAGAATAATAAAAACACCAATTCTGGGAAAATCCCAACTACTGAAGAAACCAAGACCAATAATGCATTCAGTAACGTTATAATTCAGAGTGAGGAGAGGTCTCCATCTCTTTCTCCCACAAATCAAGAAGAGAAGGCAATGCCAAACAAGCTGTTTAATCCTTATAATCAGCTCTCAGATGCTCAGAGAAAGAGCCGTAAGACCGGCAAACTTGGGGAAGAGATGCCCTTCAATTTCTTCGGAGGTGGCTCCACTGGTGACACAGGAGGTGTCGATATTGACCAAATAAGGAATTATAAAGAGGAAAAGAAGAGCTCTTCCATCTCTAAAAAGACAAAAAAGAATAAATAAGAAGAAAGTAATTCCTAAAGACTCTAAAAAGGAGTTTCAAATCTTAATGCAAAGCAAGAAGCAGAATAAGAAGCAATCGTTTGTGAACCAGAATGAAATGTCAATAATAGATTTCCATAAGAACAACGCTAGGCACCAAAATCATGAGTATAACTATGATATCCCATTTTCTCAAAAGCTGAAATCTGGCGATAGTCAAGGGAAGAAAGAAGCTTTTATTCCACCAAAGGGACAGTTTTAGATAAAGACAGAGATAATAAAGCAAGCATTACATGAAATATTTTTAACCAATTTTCCTCATGGTTCAATAGAAGAATAAAGTAATGGGGTTTTGGGGTTTTGGGGTTTTGGGGTTTTGGGG